TTCAGAAAGCGTTCGACACGGTATCAAGAGAAGCACTATTGTACAAATTAAATAAGCTTGGTATGCAGGGGCGGTTTTTTGATTGCCTCCAATACATGTACAGAAACTCAAAAGCAAGGCTTAAAATGGTTAAAAAGCTCTCGGCTTGTTTTGACGTTAATGCAGGAACGGAACAGGGCCACCCCTTTAGCCCAGAACTCTTCAAATGCTATATCTACGAACTCTCCCTCCAGATTAACACCCTAACCGGAGTGGAAAGTCCCCAACTCAACAACCAACAGATTACTCACCTGCTTTGGGCGGACGATCTGGTCCTGCTAGCCCTTAACAAGGTCAGTCTTCAGCTAATGATTGACCAACTCCACATATTTTGCACTAACTGGGGATTGATTGTTAACATTAAGAAAACTGCGGTCATCATCTTCAATCCCTCAGGAAGGCAGTTACTCGAGAGTAAAACACTTACCTACGGCAGAAGTATTGTAATCCCCTCGGTCAAAAGCTACTGCTACCTAGGTACTCATTTCACAATATGTGGCAGTATGAAGCTTAACCAAGAGCAGCTCAGGATCAAAAGACTTCGAGCATACTTCTCCCTGAAAAAGACGGTTGATCTCTCCTCAATTTCTAAAGAGGCTGTGCTCAAACTCTTCGATGCCCTTATACTTCCTGTCGTCTCATACGGTAGTCAGGTGTGGCTCCCCTATACCAACATTCTCAGCAACATCTGCCAGAAGAAAACACAGTCTGACAAAGACACACTCAGTCAATTAGCGAACGACAGCATCGAGCGCCTGCATCTCTCGCTGCTAAAATGGACGACTGGGGTCAACAAGAGAACTTCAAATATCCCGATATGGGGAGACACAGGAAGATATCCCCTTGGAATACAACTGAGTAAGCTCTTTCTTGACTTCCACAACAGGCTCGTCCTCCTTGACAGAAAAAACTCACCACAGATTGTTCGCCATGCTTTTGTAGAGCAAAGAAACCTAGAGCTGACCTGGTTCCGAACATCGAGAGCGCTGACCGACGCATTTGACCCAGGAGCAATTAAACGAACAATTGTCTCGAAGAATGTTCCCATGCCGAACAGCCAACTCGTTCGGAGTAGAATGAGAAATTGGTTCCAAGAAAAGTGGGAAAAAGCTCGACTTGAAAACAAAAAGCTTACATTCTACAACGAAGTCAAAAGCAGCTTTGGATTAGAACCATACCTGTCTCTACCCAATCACAAGAAAACCCGATGTACCACATGGCTGAGGACAAGCTCCCACAAACTTAATATCGAGACGGGGCGATATGGCTGGAAAAACTCAAGCATCTTCTACAGAGCTTGCCACTTCTGCTGCAGCTCAGACAGAATCACCATAGACCTCCTGAACGAGCTCCCGTTTAGTGACATCATTAAAGAAGACGAAGTCCATTTGCTTAAAGAATGTCCTGTCTACAAGGAGATCAGACAAAGAAACAGCACAGACGTTCACAACATACTCACAAATAGTCAATTCAGTAAATTATTTCATGAGGATTACATTTTGGAGACCAGAAATTTTGTTTATAATCTATTTCGTGAAAGATTTCCTAAAAGTAAGCTATGACTTAGTATCCTTATTTCGTGCACACTTTCAAACCTTTTAATTATTTATTTAAGATATTATGTTCTTTTTATTGTTTGGTTGTATAACTTTCATTTAACTGATTGGGATCTGACACATGTAATTTTGTAATGATCTTTCTAATTTCTAATTCTAATTCTAATTCTAATTCTAATTCTAATTCTAATTCTACTGGTCAAATTAAATGTCACTTGTTAGCGGGCTATATCATGAGCGGGCTGTAGAGATATCGGGCCCTTTGACAGCGGGCTGGTGAGAGCCCGCTATGCGAAAAAGCGCACGCTGGTGGATATAATAACATAAACCCGCCACGCAAAGGGTTTATATAACAGATCATCCCGCGCTAGCGCACGAGTTTTGTGTTAATATGTAATCCCGAAGCGCCAGCTGAGGGATTACATTTATTTTAATTTAGCCCTGAGCGTGAAGTGTTTATGGATTATAATTATCTCCGGCGATTTCGACAAGGGATTTATACATTAGAAGAGAGTGATAAAATAGTTTTTATTTCGGAATACGGGTCTGATTTTAGTAATATTTTCATTTCTATTTGTGATGGTGATAACAAGTGATAGTGTATGTACTAAGAGCGCCAACTTGTGGGTGAGATTTTATGTCTCAAAACCCAACAAATTATACACCATTGGAAAGGTCTCATTGAGTAGAGTCATATGGTACCAAGTTTTGGGGAAATGGCTGCTCCTAGCGAAAGTTATAGTCCGTTAAAGTCCCAAAATTGTCACTTCAGAAAATTGGGCGGGACATCGTGTTCTTAAACTTTTTGACGAATTTTTTTAACAGCATATTGTTTATCACAGTTTTTTACACAAGATTTGCTGTATGCCGTAATTTTTAATCCATTATTAGAGTCACAATCAATTTATTTTGTCAACAGAGTTGGAAATACTTGAAGAGACAATTGATATTCCGCGTGGTTCGCGGCGCGCTTCTTTGTCTACAAATTGTTAAATTGCGCGTTACAATTCCGAGTAGCAGAAGACGTTTCCCTGAATTTTGTTAGGGATTTTGTAGGGGATTTGACACGGATTTCAAATCCCCTAAAAATAGTTTCGAACTGTCCCTGGGAGTGGCCTGAGTGGGTCAAGACGTCGAAAATTAGTTTCTCTGGTTGTTGGGGTCAGGTACTTCCTATCTAACCACCAAATCATGTTCCAAATACCCCGGAACCTACATCTCCTACAGGGGTAAAGATTCTCAGTCTTGATTTGACCTGGATTTCAGTAATTTTGGGATGTGGCCTGAGTGGGTCAAGAGTTCGAAACTCGGTTTTACTGATGGTTTGGGACAGGTACCAACTATTAAACCACCTAAACATGTTCCAAATACCCCGGAACATAAATCCCCTACAGGGGTAAAGATTCTCAGTCTTGATTTGACCTGGATTTCAGTAATTTTGGGATGGGCGTGGCCCCTGGGAGTGGCCTGAGTAGTACAAGATGTCAAAACTCGGTTTTTCTGATGGTTTGGGACAGGTACTAACTATTAAACCACCTAAACATGTTCCAAATACCCCGGAACATAAATCCCCTACAGGGGTAAAGATTCTCATTCTTGATTTGACCTGGATTTCAGTAATTTTGGGGTGGGCGTGGCCCCTGGGAGTGGCCTGAGTGAGTCAAGATGTCGAAACTCGGTCTTTCTGATGGTTTGGGACAGGTACTAACTATTAAACATCCTAAACATGTTCCAAATACCCCGGAACATAAATCCCATACAAGGGTAAAGATTCTCATTCTTGATTTGACCTGGATTTCAGTAATTTTGGGATGGGCGTGGCCCCTGGGAGTGGCCTGAGTAGTACAAGATGTCAAAACTCGGTTTTTCTGATGGTTTGGGACAGGTACTAACTATTAAACATCCTAAACATGTTCCAAATACCCCGGAACATAAATCCCCTACAGGGGTAAAGATTCTCATTCTTGATTTGACCTGGATTTCAGTAATTTTGGGGTGGGCGTGGCCCCTGGGAGTGGCCTGAGTGAGTCAAGATGTCGAAACTCGGTCTTTCTGATGGTTTGGGACAGGTACTAACTATTAAACATCCTAAACAGGTTCCAAATACCCCGGAACATAAATCCCATACAAGGGTAAAGATTCTCATTCTTGATTTGACCTGGATTTCAGTAATTTTGGGGTGGGCGTGGCCCCTGGGAGTGGCCTGAGTGGGTCAAGATGTCGAAACTCGGTTTTTCTAATTGATAGGGACAAGTACTAACCATTAAACCACCTGAAAATGTTCCAAATACCCGGGAACCCATACAAGTGTGAAATCCCCTACACAAATCAAGGAAACGTGCTCTCCCGAGCAGCGCACGAACAATGCCAGAGTGCATTCTCGGTTTTTGTGTCGAATGTGAATCTAACTTATTCTGAAACTAGTTATTAACAACTATGATTGGAATTAATTGTAGAGAGTTCAGCTAGTAATTAGCCACGTCACTAATTACTTAATTAACCAATACATAAATTAATGAAATGGTGGCCTGGTGCCCCCATTTATGGCCTGCTTGCTCCCAACTGTATCTAGAACCGTTTGTTAATAGAACGAGATCAGGTTATATCTTAAATCTTTATGGTGTGCAACTAGTATGCTGAAGTACACCCAAACATGCGAGGAATTTATTGAACATTTAAAGCATTGAAGAATATTGCTGTAATGCTGTCCGTATCCCTAATAGTGAGTATTAAAATATAGATTATAGGTATCTACCATTTCACAAGTCTTAGTTCCCGAATTTGTTCTGACATCGAGTGAATCGTAATTGTAATCAGTACAATACAAGATGAATTTAGCATCATCTTAGTTTGATTTCTGTTGCCGGTCTAGAAGATGTTCGTGATATTGCGCATAATTGATCGAAGTATAATGTTTGATTCCATCGTATGTGGTGCATATAATGGTTTCAGCCTTTATTTTACTCTAAAGACATGCTAGAAAATCCGTTGTCACAGGGAGGAAGCTAGAAATCAATTTAAATCACAACCGAAGATACAGGCTATTATTTCGTAGAACACTCTAAACTCAACAGTAAATGATCGAAATTTAGCTCCAAATTCTTAACACGTGCACGTGCAAGTCTCCGCCTGCTTTACTATGCACGGGAGTGGTTGTACAAACAAACAGAAATCAAATACATTACATATTGTGTAGTTATTGACTACTGATAACACATTTATAGATATGGCGAAATATCAAATATTATCAAAAACTTAAAACTTGTAAATTTGTCAAATTCATGAATTAGTCTCAACTGATATATAAAATAAAGTAAAACATCGCAGCAATAAATATAAGATGAGGACATTGACAGCTCTAATAATAGATCAGAAAAAGAAAAATGGCGTTATTCAATAAAAATCGAATCGAATAGCTTAAACTACAGGTGCTAGGGCCCTTGTAAACAATCGTAATATCCTGTGAATTAAATCGATTGATTCTAATTGGTGTTCATCACTGATTAGAGGCAACAAAAGGATAAGCTAGTCAGCAGTAAATAGCAATGCATCAGTCAGCGAACGCCATCGATCGTAATGTGTCTTGCTCCAAGCTTTTAACACCTGAAATTATATGTTTTGAATAACAATTACACTCAAATAAAATAACGGAACTCAAAAAGCTCTTACGTTACAATATCTTAATAAAATTCTGGGTAACTAATTTAATTAAAACGATACCAACATTGAACCTACGTCTTACAATGAGCGCTATAATTTTTAGAACATAACAGCTGATAACCACCTATAACAAGCATGAAGCACGTGATTGAAACCCACGATTAGGGTCGGGCAATCTATCACTACTACTGGTACCACTACCACTACCAGGTATGAGCGTAACAAACTTAAGATGAAACAATTGATCTCTATGTAGCACTCTGCACTATATAATTATATGTATACGTATCACTATTTTGCCTAGTATTACTGATAAGATGGTGGTAGAAAGTAAGCACTTATTTTCTAAATAAAATGATATTTACTTTAAATATCAAGATGGTAATTACTAGCCTGGGCTGATCTTCGTGATAATATATACAGTAAAACCCCGACTTACAGTACAGTTCAGGGAAAGATAAATAGTGCGGTAAATCAGAGTTTTCACCAGGAGGTGACCGGGATTGGCAATTTTGAGCTATCCCGGTGCCGGTGCCGGTCCCGGTCAAGTCACATTTTTCATCCCGGTCCCGGTCCCGGTAAAATGCTGATTTATGATCCCGGTCTCGGTCCCGGTCAATCACTCAAATTTGCCGGGATTTTGACCGGGATCTTTTACATAATTTCATTCAGTGTGATTTTAAGTTTTTACTTTTATTCATTGTGAATTTCATCTTTAAACAACCTCTGAGCCAAATAAAACAATGTTTAAAATTGCTGAACAAGTTTAAGTAATAATATAAATTAAGAGTAAGTGCAAAGTAACATCAAGTTTTCAACTCGGGCTACGCCCAATTGTCAATTGGAATTGGAGAATGAAACTGTTGAATAATTTGAGGGATCATTGATTGAGGAATGAGGAATGAGGATGAACTTGAGTTATCAGTACATGAACATTATTGGTGTAGTACATTAGGCCCATGCCCCGCCCCATATTGACGGGTTTTTTCTAATTTAATATTCTAGTTATTACTTATTCAAATTGTTCAATTGTAATGTTAATGAAAGTTGCAGCTTTCAATATGAGAATACCAGTTTTGGTCCCGGTCATCCCGGTCATCCCGGTCATCCCAGTCAAATCCCGGTCATCCCGGTAAAATTGGATTGTTGGTCCCGGTCCCGGTCCCGGTAAATTGATAATCCCAGTCCCGGTCCCGGTCCCGGTCCCGGTCAAGTCACATTTTGTATCCCGGTCCCAGTCCCGGTCCCGGTCAGGCCTGAAATCATGTCCCGGTCACCTCCTGATTTTCACTTTTTGGTCCCCTTGGCCGTCGGATCACATGGTTTCTCTCCGCACAGAATTGGTTCCCAATTAGTGGTCATGGACTATGGTTCACAAGTACTCAAGTGAGGGTTACTAAAACTGTGTAGGTTCAATGCTATACAGTACGCTCTTTGACCAACATCAGAAACAAAACATTATTTACCGCCCCTTCTGTCACCAAGGATCGACCGGGACTAATTTTTTGGCCGGGACTGGAAAGAAGTGCCGGAACCAGGTATACGCCGGGACCGGGATTAAGCCGGATTTGGGACCGGGATCATAGCTAAGAAAACGAGCACTTAACACTTACACTAAAATCTGGTATCCGCAACTGATAAAAAGCACAAGCACAGCTTACCCAACAAATTTGCACTTGACTCTGACAGTGTTTTGTTTATTAATTGGTAAATAATTTTGCTTTAAACTTCAGTTTTTCAAAAAAATCCGGGATTAAACCGGGATCCCGGTCGAACCTTGTCTATCACTCCCTGTCATCTCTTAGCTCTCTGACACCTTATTGCTTAATGTTAAGATCCTAGCTTAACAATACGTAACACATTCATATGGAGTCTTTATTCTAGCTCGACGGTACTGTAAAACCACTAATTGGGAACCAATTCTATGCGGAGAGAAATCATGTGATCCGACGGGGACTAAAAAGTGAAAACTTTGATTTACTACATTTCTTACATGTACATGTGCATCTCTTATTGCTATAATTCGACGACTTATCTGCTACTTTGTGTCCGGTGCTATACAATTGTGAGTACGTTATGGAAGATGTGTACTTAGACTCTCTAATGTAGTCAAGTAAACATTTTGACCAGCTTTCAGATGCTTCTAATGATCTTGGTATTTGGGTTGAGGTAATGAAGACAATAAACTTTGATGAAGATAGTGATATCACATTCGAGAAGTTCAAGAAACCAAACAAGGACGTTTTAGTAAAGCACCTTTTTGATGCGTTTTAGGGTATTGTCTAATATCAGCGTATTCTCCTCTCAACGAATAAAAAGATAGAGGAAATGAAAAGTGAAATCATCAGTGCTCAGAAATCAGCAAAAAATGCAGAGGAAACCCTTCCCCCAGCTCTGTCTCCACTTTCACGGCAGAAAACTTGAAGAAAGTAGTTTGGAATGTTGTAGCTGAAGAAGATCGCAGCAGATTGCAGAAATGTCTTCATTTTTAGTCTCAAGGAGGATACAGGAGAGAAACTCGGCGATTAAATTTGTGATGTGTTTGAACAAATTGCAGAAAAGCCACGCTTCGAAGCTGCTCAAATTGGGAATATGTCTGCTGAAAAACCCAGAGCTGTCAAAGTATCAATTTGAAACTCTAGCACCGTTCATCAGATACTGATCAAAGCTAAAGAACTCAGACTGTCTCAGTGTTTCAAAAGTAAATGACCAAATCAACTATTTGAAGGAGGAAACGAATATAGAGCACTTATTTCTAAAATTCTAAAGGTATATTGTCACTAGTGAGATTGTATAGGGTTGTACACTCCCTCTTTTTATCTATTGTCACCATAAATTGAGAACGTTTTGAGTTAGAAACTCCAAAATTTCCAGACACATTTGGACTTGGTTTGATAATTGAAGTGCTTTCCTATAACTTCAAGTTCGTTGTTTACTGTCACCAAGATGTAAATCAGATCGAATTTCAATGTATTTGTATATGTATTTCGCGCCAGCGTTCGATCTAATTCCTAGATCGAACTGGTTCGATCTAATTTCTCGTTCGATCTGATTTACATCTTGGTGACAGTTACAACTAAGCCGAGTTATGACCATTTTAAGATCTGGTGGATACATGATCCTGGCACTTAATCTGTGATTTCTTCACTCAATCAATGGCACTTAATCAGTGATTTCGAATGATTTAGTTTCAAATTATTATTCAATTAAGTAACTTTTGGTGATCAATCCAGTGATCAAAACCAAATTGCCCAATCTTGCCTAAAAACGATCTTTGAATGTTGCATTGAAAATATCCACTTGCTAAAGTCACAATGATAAGAATTGGCTGTAAATAAACTGGTAAGTAGATGAGCATAACAGTGGAGTTCCCACCTACGAGAGGTGGCTGAGAGGTGGCGCGCCTGAGAGGTGGCGCGGTGTATGCAGAGTATGATAATGTCAGCCACCTCTCAGGCGCGCCACCTCTCAGCCACCACTCGTAGGTGGGAACTCCACTGTAATGAACTTAACAGGCATCAACCATCCTTAATGTTAACTATCAATAAACAAGTGTGTTTGTACAACGCAGTTTTAGGTATTTAATGGGTTTTCATCAGTAATAATTCTTGCTTGAAAATTACAGTCAGTTGGTGGTACTGTTAAATAGTTGTAAAATGATAATGGTAAATAGGACCGTCATTTCTCTCCACAATCGCTTGGTAAGAGGTTATCTTTTATTATAAAGGCTGAGCTAAAGCAGTCATATGTATACTAAGATAAAAAAGGTCACATCAAGCTTGAACAAAGTACTCACATATTTCAGCCCATAGGATCGGTTGTTAATTATTATATCAGCATACAATAATGTTTGTCAGGAAAGCATTTCGTCCCAAAGGAAATTCTGGTTCAGCTAGAAATAATGATATTTGAAGTTCATATTTTAAATTCAAATATTCTGGCTAACTGCTTAAAGCTATACTTTAATTAGAATAAACAATATACATCAAGTTAGGTCTGTTTCTACACCAGGAAAATAGATTTATTGAAAAAAATTCCTTCAAAACCTTCAAATACCTGCATTTCAAGAAATAATAACAAAACAGGTCTTCGAGTTCGATATTACAGCTTAACTAAGATAATCAAACTAAGTGGGACACACCAGCATTACAAAGCAGCTGTTTTTTGGCAAATGTGATTATAGGCCATTATTGAAGGCAGATATCTAGAGCTTGGAATGCGTTTCGGGCATCAAAGAATGTGCACCTGTGTACCAAGGCAATTGCACGATTTGATTGGAAGTACATATACTTTTTCTAACACAGAATACTGTCCGTTATTGTTTATACAAGGCTTGAATGGGTTAATTGTAATTTCGGTATGAAGCATGCTTGAAATGATCTGATAAAAGTGTAAAACGTTCAAATTCTGTCCAGAACTAAACGAGTGTAACAAGGGATTTAATTTAGCAACATCCTGATCCACTAAGCTATTCTATACTAGAACAAGTTTTTAGTAGTCTCCAGCACATCGCAGCCAAAACGCAGTAACACTAACTCAGTTATATTAAATACCCTCTCAAGATCATTTAGTAACATCTGCATTACAATGTGCAACGAAACAACTACTATCAAACTAAATATACGGTGTGTGCATTGAGGCTCTATGCTAATTGCTATGAGCGGCAACAAAAAGAAATGCGACCGAAAAGTATCAACGCATATTTGATATGAGAATAAAAATCGCGTGACAAAAAATTTGGTTAAATCTCCTTATTGCAATTTCTAACTGCGCGGCGTAGCGCGTACTTTGAAATCCAAATAAAAATTATTTTTGATTCAAATATCGAAAAATAAAATTACGGCATACAGCAAATCTTGTGTAAAAAAATGTGATTAACAATATTCTGTTAAAAAAATTCGTCAAAAAATTTAAGAACACGATGTCCCGTCCAATTTTCTAAAGTGATCATTTTTGGGACTTTGACGGGTTATAACTTTCGCTAGGAGCAGCCATTTCCCCAAAACTTTGTACCATATGACTCTACTCAATGAGACCTTTCCAATGGTGTATAATATGTTGGGTTTTGAGACATAAAATCTCACCCACAAGTTGGCGCTCTTAGTACATACACTATGATACGATAACGTACTAACAGTAGTAAATTAAGATTAAGTAGCACAATTGAAGTTATACCGGTTAAACAAGCAATAGAAAATATATTTACGATGAAAAGCAAGCTATATCAAAATGTAAAATTGTATTGATACTGTTAGTGTTAGTCAAAGCAAATCTGGATGACTGAAGCCAAGAATTAAATTTGTTTAGAGCCCAGTTGTTGACTCTAACTGTACTGTCCGGAACACGATTGGAAAGCAGTTCATCAATCTGAATGTCAAACCGATCTGTCATAGTGGAGCAATAGCTTGAACGTTAGCAGGAACAAGAGCTGGAAGGAGAGCAAGCAAAACAATACTATTTTTAGGGCACGGACAAGGGTAACTGGCTAGTCGCCAACTTCTCACGCCACGCGTTGGAGAAATTCCAAGAATTAGCTGCTTTGGCAACGTTCCCAGGAATTTGCGTGTAAAAGAAGTGGACGGTTACGATGTTTCATATCACGTGGTGCGCTTTCGTGTCACGTGGTATAGACTCGGCGTATGCTATTGGTGGCACGTGGTACGCACGTGACGCGCCCACGTGATCGCGCGTCTAACTGTTCTACTATTATCGTGTTCTAATCAGCAGTATCATTGATTATTGTAAGTCGGAGAATTGAATGATAAACATCAGTTACGACTAAAAAGCGGGCCGGGTTTATACAAATTTCCGGGGCGGGATGATATCACCTTGAGATGTTTATCTAACAGCGGGCCGGGCTGAGTGATAATATGATCCCGCGTCGAAATCCCGGAGATATTTATAATAATTTAAATGCTAATAAAAATTCTGGATGTGTGCATAAAAGCAAGTCCAAGGAGATAGGTTAGACTTAGAAACTACGATAAGTTGATAGGACGATCAAGGAGATGAGTAGGGGACGTGAAGCGTCAAGCGAGGATTAGGACTTATTCTTAGGATTTCGAAGGTTTGAAGAGTCTGTTAGGTATTTCCCGAATTCTTTTGTGTGACAAGAGTTCATTATGATCCTATACTCTTTTAGCATTACAAGGCTTTTCAGGTTATCAGAAAGCTTTGAGCGGCGGGAGTGGTACTCAGTGCATTCGGTTATGACATGGTCCTCAGTTTCTAGGATAGGTGTTTCAAAGAAAGGTAGCTCTTCGAAAAAGCGAATGACGTCTGTGTCTGGAGAGCAGCAAAAACGACACGTTTTCAATGCTGTGGTGTATCGATCACTAGTATATGATATATCGACCTTTCTCTACCCTCAGATCATGACTGCTAGAGCGAAGTTTAGCAATATTAGCTCTCTTAAGCCTGCACGGAATCTGTAAGTACGGGTATTTGCCTCACAGAATGGCCAAAAAAAAGGAAGGTCTCTCAAAGTCACAAAACACACTTTATTCCAGTTTTTATCTCATAAGAAGCTAAGTTGACACTCATATTTTTCTTCCCGGGGGTTCATTTAATCTCATAACCATCTTTTCTTTGAGAAAAATTGGCCGGAAAATCTTCCTCCAAAAAAACATGCCTCACAGAATGGCCAAATCTGAATTTCTATAATTTTGTTGATGGAGATACTTTTTAAATTTCTATCACCACACGTTCTTAGAAAACCTATTAAGGAATGGGGTAATAACCTAAAACTCACGAAAAAACTGAGCTGTGAAAAATTATTTCACAAAAAAGAAAAAATGCCTGACAAAATGGCAAAAAAAAAAAGAAAACGAGAAAATTTTATTTTTCTAAAACCTTTGGCTCTTGTTTCAGGCATGCTGCTGGTATTAATATGCCCTGTTAACACCCCCATATAGGTGAAATTTCTTAGAACTGAATAAAAAGGGCATAATTTCCTACACCAAAAATGGCCATTTTGTGTGGCGTTGTTCATATTCCCTGATTTCATGATTTATAACCTTCATTTGGCTGTAAAAACACTCCATCTGGGGTGTTATTGTATGATAAATAGCTTGTGAATACTTTAGACTTATGGTTTCATTGAATAAAAGGAGTTTTAAATTTTGGCCATTTTGTGAGGCATATTTTGGCCATTTTGTGAGGCGTTTAGCCATTTTAACATTTTGTTTCTTCCTAAATTGAACAATGTTCGTTTTGTTTGATGAATACTATTCTTTAAACATCTTCTGTCATACTGGTGCCAGAAGTTCTCACCAAAATGCAAACTTAGTTCAAAAATTTGAAAACAAATTTTGTGAGGCATATTTTGGCCATTTTGTGAGGCGTGTAGCCATTTTAGCATTTTTTTCTTCCTATATTGAACAATGTTCGTTTTGTTTGATGAATACTATTCTTTGAACATCTTCTGTCATACTGGTGCCAGAAGTTCTCACCAAAATGTAAACTTAGTTCAAAAATTTGAAAACAAATTTTTCAGTGCTCAAAATTTCTACATAAACAGTCATATTTATGCCAGAAAATGTGGTCCTAGTTAATGATTTCACCACAGGAAGTGTTGCCAGAAGACTTTTGTTTCATATGGTATCCACAAAACCTACCAGTCTTTTATAAAAAATTAGTTACAAAAACATTTACAAATTTGGCCATTCTGTGAGGCTAGCCATTCTGTGAGGCATTTACCCGTACTGTTCTTCACCAAACTCAGATTTGACCGCGGTGTAGAATGACATCTTCGGCTGGTTGTGAAGATCCTTTTTCCAGTGGTTCACAAAGGTTTCGTGTATGTGCTCACGTGCTGCAAGAGCGGGGTGTAAGTTTGGTTTAGCGGAGGTGCTCATCTTGATGATAGTGGACCAAGTGTCATACCAGGTAAGGTTCAATTGTTTCTGCTCCTGAAATGTATGGTGCAGAAGTGTGTTCACGTTACCTACTACCGCTTGTGATGCTCTATAGAAGTAGGCAATACATTGAGGGAGGACGGTCACTGTCCAGGGGGTTCTTCCTGTGTCGCCGTAACAAAAGTTGTTATTTGCCTTTTTGTGGACACCCAATATCCATTTAAGAATTTTTAGGTAAGTAGTTTCAAGAGCATCTTTTGCTGCTGCTTTGGGGAGACTCACTTCTTGGTTTTTTGAGAGAATGGCTTTCACGATGTTGGTTGATGGCAGCCAAACAGGGCATCCGTATGTAGCTGCTGGCTTGACTAAGCTATCGATGAGTTTTAGCATCGTGCTAGTGGAGAGTGCTCTCGTGTCAATAATTCGTCTCATAGAGAAGAACGAGCGTAGAGCTTTTTTCCTAAGCTCATCGATTGCTTGTTTGAAGGAACCGTTCAGAGAGAATTGGATTCCAAGGTAGCAGTATTTTCTTACTGGTGCGATGTCCAAGTTTCCTAGTTTAAAGCCGTAAGCACATTTGAGTATTCGTGAGCTTGTGTTAAATACCATCACACTGGTTTTGTTGATATTCACAGACAACTCCCACTTTACGGCATAGTCATGCAAGCAGTTCAGCAGTTTCTGTAAGCTGTCTGCATCCAGCGCTAAGAGGACCAGGTCATCTGCCTAAAGGAGGTGGCTTACTTTAACACCGTTTAGAAGAGGTACATCCAATTCCTCAATTTGTTCCAGCCTGATGGAGAGCTCGTGGATATAAAGTTTGAAGAGCTCAGGGGACATTGGATGCCCTTGTTCTGTACCGATCGTGACGTCAATGGCTGCGGAGAGCTTCGGGTTGAAGAGTTATTGTACATATGGCTGATGCATTCGAAGAGTTTGCCTGTTATGCCCATGTTGCCCAGCTTGAACTGGAGTGCTTCCATGCATACGCTATCGAAAGCCTTGCGGTAGTCGACAA